GTGGCCTGACACACGGGGTAACTTCAACCGGCGTTAGGCGGCCTTTCCAGCAGTCTACCAAACCCCCCGAATGTAACTGGATGAACGGAAGGACAGGCACACACCTGGAACAGACGCGAGCCCAGCCAGAACCACAATCGATTGCTAGTTAAATTATTTATGGCATCATATTAGGTTGCCTTCATTTCCTACAACGTACATAACTTGTACCGCACAACATCATAGTCAAGCATTGACCAGCCTGCTGAAATTCTTCATCTATAACGTTAATTTTGCTTCGTATATTAAAGGCGCGACGACTATTCACACACAAAGCAGTCTTAATCATCTTATTAACAAATTCCCTGTGCGGATATTCGTTAGTGTGAGTGAAAATTGTTAGGTGAAGGCGTAACGTGTAATATCAAACTTTGCTTGATTTATTACAGCAAGAGTAAGCAAAATGTAATTCCGGGAGGGCCGATTCAAAATCCTCAAATTACGTGTTATGGAGGAAGAGGACGACAAAATGCCCGATACGGTCCGAGTTCTAATGAGTACAGAGTAGGAGATGATTTAGTTTCAGATACTGCGTAATTTCCGAAGGAAATACGCCTTAATGTTTTGTCTTTCAGGAAAGGTGATAAGCTTTTGAATTTCCTTCCATATTCTCTGGGCTGCGGCACACTAGGCGGTAAGGTTTTCAGTGTTAGCACCAAACCCACCAGTGCGAGAAGTGGAATTTTTCGGGGTAGTGCGCTTAGCCCGCCACTGTTCTGTCTTATTGTCAATTATGCCCGAAACTTTTTCCAGAATGCTAAGCCTTCTGCGTACGGTGAAAATGTGAGAGTTGCCTGTCGATACCAACTGGCAGACCGCGATATCCTGCTTAAGCACTCGAAAAATGACCTTCGCGATTTTGTTAGGCGGCGTTGTACGTTGTGTTTGCACTTTATTGACACAGATGTTTGATTGTGGTTGTTGATGACGACGATAATCAGCCGCGATTGACCATTAACGATCTCGGCATAAATACACCAGGAGTTGTTAAGGAAATATGCTTATCCTGCTCTAAGAGTCCCATTCTTTCGAAGAATCGAGCTCTGATTTCTTCCCACCCATGGAGACACCCCGAGTTGATATTTCGTTATTTTAAAATTAATGAGACTGGAACCAATCTCTATAAAATATATGTTAGGTATGAACCAGAATTCTGTTCTCCTTGACCCCTTGCGTGCTGGTGAGTAGCGTCTCTTTAACGTCTCTTTTTATGGATTCTCCGATTTCAAAAGTCAAAATTTTAGGGTTTAAACAATTAAATTTTCGGCTTTTCAATTCACTGACAGCACAAAAACATCTTGATCCCGCCGACGCAATAGCCACCACGAAGTCCGTCTACTTCTTATTCCGTCATTCTCGGACAAGTACAATGAGTCCTTTTGCCGATACAAGCAAAGGCGCCAGTTCCAGGAACTAGTTGATAAGAAGTAAAAGCAATCACCGGAACAATAGATTTACTTGTCTGACGCTTCGGATCCACACTCGCGCCCATCATCAGAGACAATAACAGACGCCGATACTTAGTTCACAAGAGGTCACAGCATTTATAGGGTACAGTCGCGGTACCACTGCATACCTATGATCGTTGGCTGTTCTCCTTTAATCGACGAAGTTTGCCTGCTGGTGCGGTAATTGTCTGACGGCAGACATGCGGGTTGTTAATTGTAGAAAGTTCGTCACCCGTGTTGGATGTTGGCGTTCTGATAACTCGGTTGCCTGGCTCATCGCCCAAGCGCTCTTCGAGTGGCTAAGTACTTCGGCCATACTACGTCTTCGCCCCGAATATGGGGTGGGGATATAGTTGAACTTGTTGGTAGGATGGAGTTTCGTGAACCATCGCTCAAGAAACTCGCGGCCCACGCGACTATTGCAACTTGTGAGAATTTCGACCTCTTCGAAATTAAATGCGTACCCGGGTCTCGTCGAATGAGCGAGACTTGACAGTTTGCGTTATTTCTCCGCACTGCCGTCGCATGTTCGGCAATTCGTGTCCGGAGCGGTCTTCCAGAGTCTCCGAAGTGGCTGCTTTACCCGTAACCGCGCCATATCAGGCAAACGACTCGAGATGCTTCTTGCCGTGACAGCGGCCCTCTTGTTCTCATCGCCTGATCGCTTGATTGTTGCCTACGGTCTGTGTGAAACTTCAACTCCAGGTGGGGCGAGACGGAGACCGACGGCCTTAGAGACGCTCTCGATGTACGAAGTCGCTCATCATAACTTGGGGTCAGTGAACTTCTTTGGTTGTCTCGCCTGCGCAAACACCGGCCGAAAATAGTTGCGCGGGTTACCATTTTCTCGGAACAAATCCTCGCCTTGCGGTCCATTTCAGTGCGTCTCAATGAATCGATATAGCGCCCTTACGCAACTGTGTTAGTGGCCGATTGAGTGGTCACTGCTAAGGTTCAGTGTTTTCGTCGTGCTTATCGCTTTAAGGAACACTTTGGTCTTTAAACTACTACAATCTTTGCGGCAGACGAGGACATTAGAGGAGACCGGCAGGTTGTTTTCCTCCTACTCCATCGTGAATTGTATACCTGGGAAGACGCTATTGGAATGTTCTTTGAACTTTTACACCTCATCAGTTCGAGACAACGAAGGTATCTTCCACATTCTAAGCCCAGAATTTCGGTATGTGGCGCTGGAAGACCGGCGAATCTAGATGTTGTAGGACCACCTCGCCTGACTCCCAAAATCGGCGAACACACTTGCATTCCCTTCGACAGATCGTAGATTGTTTCGTCAGACGCAGAGTGCGTCTTAAGACAAAGCTTCAGGAAATGAGGGACTTGGGCGTGTCCGGATCGATTCCCCGTTTAACTGTGTTTGCTTTATAGGAATAGCCGGACGGTCCTGGAAATAGGAGCAGTTAGTCACATGTAGAGCGCGCAGGCAATGAGC